TCTGATATATATATTCTGATATATTCCAATACAAACGAGAACGTAGACCTACGTGTGGTACATGCTTGCAAATTCGACACCTGTATGTACATGTAGGTGAAGATTGTCTTCATCATCACGTGTATTGTCAGTCTGAATTTATATCAACTCTCTGGCCAGTGAGGCCCCAGGCCCTCGAGCCCAGCGTATTTTCTTGTGAATAAATTCTTACGAGGCCCCAGGCCCTCGGGCCCAGCGTAATTTCTTGTGAATACGAATGTATAAACTATGTCTCATCAAACCCAACCAGTAGTCACACAGTCTACAGAAGTTCTTATGAGGCCCTCGGGCCGAGCGTAATTTCTTGTGAATATGTATGTATAAACTATGAATCATCAAACCCAATCAGTAGTCACACAGTCCACAGAGTCCGCAGTCCACACACTCCACAGTGAGTGCATACTCCACAGTCCACAGTCCACATTCACCACCAGAGGGGCTGAGCCATTCAATAATCATCACTGATTCAGGAATCTGAAATCTGAAATCTTATCTGATGATCCACGCGAACTGTCGCAAATGTGATGAAAGTGGGGTTTTCTTTGAAAAAGGAATTCCATTCGCACTCCAAGATATGTACGTCACTTAAAATACTTGGATACTAATGGACCGACCGCTATCGGTATTAGATCTACTAAAGGGAAGGTACTCAAGGCCCAAGGGTGGTCAAGGGCAGTTGAAGGGCTCAAGTCTACTACTACTACTAGTAGAGTACATAGTAGAGAGTCAAGGCAGAAGCGGAGAAGCTAGTTGCAATTTAATCTGAATTTTGCAGCGATTCGGCCAGTCTTGAAATTTAAATAAAAATGAAGAGCATTTTTCCATATCAATAAATACCAAGCACTAAGCTGAGACAGTTCAGTAGTACACTGCTGGTATAGAAGCATTTCCTAAATTCGACTATATATATATGTATATAAATATATATATATCATTTTATATACATGTAAAATTTTATTTTACAACACTTGTGACCTGACATGTTCTTACGAATTATGTGTGAGCCATCAAATCGACTTGGCATTTCGATTACAATTGCAGCGTTATTGATATTTTACATTCTATTATTGAAAGTAAATGAGATGGGTTTGGAACTCAATATCGATTTTCCAAATCAAGATTTGATACCAGTAGAGGTTAAAAGTGAGACGACAGAATCTGAGTTCTGGCCAAGCCTTGATGATGGCTTGCCATTAAGACTCATGGAGTATATAAAAGAACATGGAGAAAAAGTAAGAAAACCTGATATGCATACGGAGTATATAGTATACACTTGTACAGAGCAAAACGAGAGATGCGGGGGTATCGGAGATAGATTGCGAGGGATAGTATCGCTTTTCATGTTGTCAATCTCTACGAATAGGGTGCTGGTGATTGATTGGAGCTATCCTTTTGCCTTAGAGGAAACTCTCATCCCAGGGATGGTCGACTGGCTAGCCCCTCTAAGAACTGTACAACTCTACGAGACTGCGAATCCACATAAAACAGTCAGCCTGCTCAGCATGGGTGAGGCTAATTACACGGAGTGGACTAGGGTGTCACAAAGCGACGCAAAAATTGTCCGGATTACTACGAATAATATTCGTCGTGGACTCTCAGCTTTGTCTGCAGCAAAGAATATGATTAGTCAAATGGATTTATACCGACCCGGACAAAGAATTCCACAGTTACTGTGCTCATGGATTTTACGAAGTCTGTTCGTGCCCAACCCAGATACGATAAGAGTCGCCAATGAACAACTGGCACTGATCGGTATCGACCCCGATCGCCCGTTTGTTGCGATTCACGCACGATTTGGACACACTAACAACGACAAAGGCGCAAGCCAGTTCAAAACTGACCCAGCACGCTTGGGACTTGAAGACATTCCCAAAATAGCTCGTTGTGCTAGTAAAATTAACTCGCAGATGCGGTTCAAGGGAATAGCCGTGCAAAATGCAACATTCTTGGCTGCAGATAGCAACGAGGGAAAATACATTTTTCGAGAACAATTGCAGGACGTCAAATATTTCTCAGCGCATGCTTTCCATATCGATAAAGTGAGAAAAGATCGTGGAGAGTATGATGCAGCCGAAGCAGATATGCTCAATCAGCTAACATGGGCTGAGTTTCTCATTTTGTCGAAATCTGAATGCGTGGTGTCAACCAGAAGTGGATTTTCGGAATGGGCGATTGCTTTCAGCAAAAATCCCCAGACTGGTAAGCGATGTGCCCAGGCTGGTACCGAGTGTGAAAACATCAATTGGAATAAAATTATCGGCTAATACAACAAAAAGAGTA